TAATATGATGATTATAACCCTCATAAGATTGACATTCGCCTCTTGAGATGAAGAAAGAAAAATTAGTTGATGTATGGGGAGAGAAAGATGCCGAAATGATTGATAATGTATTAGCAATGGTAAGTCATAATGATCATAGTGATTATGATAATGATTATGATAAGTATGATTATGTAAGTCATATGATTATGAATATGATTATGTAAGTCATAATGATCGCAGTGTCAATATGGAAATGAGTTGGAAGGAGGATGACAACGACTGTAATGAGTTGATTATGTAAGGAGCTCTACTCTAGTCCATAGCTGATCGTTACATTCCATTCAATTTATTATAGGATCCATTTTTAAATCTACTACTGGAAAATGGAGACCATATAGCAGTAAGACAACGATAACTGCATACAATCAATGTGACGTCGTCATTGTTGAACGTAGGTTGTGCTAATCATAAAATTCAATGCCTATAGATACTGAATATTGGTGGACGTTTACGCATGAAAAGATACAAAGACAATATCAAATACTTCGATAATTTCGACGAAACACAATTCTTCAACCATGAAAATCTATGGTCGGACAAGCAGTTAATCCTATATGAAAAATACTCTAGTTTGAATATTTATAACCCCCAAACACTACAGCTACAAATCACTCTACCATTCCCTCACTTCACCATATGGGATATGCAATGGAATCTTCAACACTCTCAACTCATCATCAGGGGTGGAAAGGATTACTGCTTAGTAACCCACGTGAAAAAGACATGATATTTGCGTGAAATGTAAAGTTAATCTTGTATCTTATACCCAATGCAATGTCACGAGAGTGACAATAAACTAAGTTAATATTGCTTCCATAATCAATGAAGATGATTGATGTGTATACTGTACAAATGGATAAAGTATACCCCTAATGTCAGTAAAACCAATACCCAAAAATAAATATAGCAAAGCATGATTAAAAGTAGTCTATGTCTAGTCTATGGTCAATGCTATTGCTGAGTTAGTTTAATGTCTATTACAAATCAATCAATGAAATTGTGCAGCTACTTCAACGTTTATTGCAAATTGCAGTAAAAGACGGACTTGAAAGAGAAACAATCTCACCAAGTTCTTGGTCAAAATAACATGAGAAGATAAAATAGTCTGCTAGC